TGCGAAATACTTTAACTTTTTCTCCAAATGGTATTCGATGACTATTTGATAACGAGTAACCACATTATCAACTAACATCTGATATCTGATATACAATAATTTTTGCTCAAGACAGTTTTTTTCGAAACGCTTCACCCTCTTACGGTGCTCTTCATTCCTTTGTTTCTACACACTTAATGCCGATGTGGGAGCAGTATGATGACATTCGACTTATCGCTGATTTACTTATGGCTATTTTGAACTCAGGTGCGCAATAAATGAATGCTCGTTTCTGAGTTTCCTCAACCATCCAAGTACATTTCGTAGAAAATTCTACCGCTTCTGCTGCTTCGTTGAGCTTTCTTACTTTTTAGTTCTCCTTAAACTTGTTGGATTGCTTTCTTGGAGTAAAGATACACCCTTTTCGAAAGTTCCGGTCAAGATCCCCAGATACCAATCTGACATTGCTAACTCGGTCCTGAAAGCGTTAATTTTCCAGCTCCAGCGTCTTTTATCTGACCAAAGACAGGAAAAAAAGGTTAGAAGTTCGCGTCTTTTGCAGTCGTTTCCTTGTGATTATTCTCCCTTCTCCCACCCTGGGCGTTATACATACGACCCCGCGACGTGATTGTCCAGGTTTGGGGACAAGGGCTTTTCGGTTTGTGGCTAGCTTGCCTTTACCCTTTTCTCGATTTGTGTGTATTGTGGCTTATACACAGTGGCTATGTATATGCAACTTTATTGAAAGCACAAGAAGCTCCGTATCGGCGGTGCAACGGGTATTTATACCCGGCCGATACGGGTGACAAACAAGCGGTTTATCAAGGGTCAAGGGGTTGCAAATAGTCTATATGATTAGCAAAGGTCACATCGGTAAGAAATCGTGCACCTGGTTATCACGGGTCACAGGGGGGGGGGGCAAATAGTGTGCAGCTTTATCAGTGGTTACAGCGGTGGTAAAAGGTTATCGAGGGTTAAAGGGTCGCGCAGAGCGAGACTTTCCGCGCGCCCCCTTTACATGTAAAGTCTACGCTTCAGAATAAAACAACAATAGTGAAGTAGAAGGAGCTTCAGTAGAACTCAGATTTCCATCGCTTGGTGGTCTGACGTAGATTGTTGTCGAGTGGCGGTCTTGCATGGCGTTCCGTATTGAATAGGGCAGTTGATACCGAACTAGTTGAGCTTTGTCGAGTCGTCTTTTTGTCATTGCACTGTCCACATCGAACAGTTAATGCTCGTTGGACTAGAGCTGTCAAGCTGTCTTTCGTAGTCTTGTATGACCTCATACGCTCGAGTTTTCGAGGCTCTCTCTTGATTTCTGCGAGGAGCTTGTGAAGGGGTCTCTTGCTGTGCTCGCCTTCCTTCAATGCTGTCACCTTGTCGTGACCGAGGTTGTGTTTTTCTTGTCTCTGCTATGCTCTTCTCTACTGCTTCGTCGTGGGAGCGAATTTCGAGAAGATATAATTTGTTAAGCGGTCTGTGCAGAACGGTCTGATTTGGCACTCTGACTTTTACTGACCTAATCATGCCATCAGCACTTTTGATAATTTCTATTATCTTTCCATAGTACCGATTTCCTCTTGGCAGATACTCTTGCTCAACGATCACAATTTCTCCTAGCAGTGGGTATTTGGAGGGATTGTGACTAGGTTGTTTTAGATTTTTTGTGTGGCTGTCACGTATAGCTGTAAGGTACTCTGTGTTCCACTTCTCCCAGAAGTTAGCCGCAATCATTTTGGAGTGAGCGATTGCTTGTTTTGCCTGTGATACTGTTTGTATGAGTTCTGGATCATATTCACCATCGGAATGATCACTAATTTGAGATGCCTGTGGCAGAGCAAATTTCAAGTTTCCTTGAAGGAAGTCAAGCGGTCTTAGCGGTATTTCATTGAGATCTGTTAGGCTAACTTTCGTATGAGGTCTGGTATTGATGATTGCCTCAATTCGAGCAATAGCGGTGGTCATTTCAATGAATGTTAGCTTTTTGCCACCAATCGCTTTCGAAAAACAGCGTTTTACTGTTCCAACTAACCTTTCCCATACGCCTCCCATCCATGGGGCACTTGGAGGATTGAAAATCCATTTTATGCCCTCAGATGAGCTGGTGAACATCACAGAGTAGCCATCTATATCATTATTTTGATACAGATCGTTGATGACTACTTGCCCAAGCTTGACGTTTGTTCCACAGTCCGTGCGTATTAGTTTTGGTACGCTTCTTCTTGATATGAAGCGAACAAAGCTGTTTAAGAATGCGACTGCTATCATATTTTCGACGACTTCTAGGTGTATCGCTCTGGTGGTCAGACACGTGTACAAGCACACGTACATTTTTGTCTTTTCCTTTGAGTCGAATGGACCCATGAAGTCGCAGCCGACGTTTTGGAATGGTTTTGTTATTACCACTCTGTCTTTGGGTAAGGGTGGCATCTCAGGGGCTCCAAATGGAAGACCATGACACCGTTTGCAGATCACACAACCCTTTAGGTACTTTTTTATTGCTCTCGATGGCTGTGGTATCCGATACTTTTGTCTTGCAAATGAAAGCACGTGATCTTTGCCACAGTGAGCGTTTTCGTTGTGAATCTTTGTTAATATCAAGCGGGCTAGATCCGAATCATTTGGTATATAGATCGGTGATCTGGTATCGTAAGGCAAATTCGCATTGCGAATTCTTGATTCATATCGAATCACCTCATTTTCGTCGCGAACTATGTTTATATGAGGGAAGCGCTTTTGCAGCTGCTCTATGCTTACGCCGCGATGTTCTGAGGCTAATAGCATTCTTATTATATCGTCTGAGCAGATTTCTATTTCTTTGGAAAAGTAGGTGAGGTTCGCTGTTGCGATGGAAGTTGACCTTTTCTGATTGCACCGATGAACCCAGTTTGATAAGGTTTTGCAAACCAAGCGGCAAGTGTCCTTAATACTCGGGTGTACCTCGAGTACCGTGTTGTATCGATCAATTTATCTTTGGGAATCGATACAACAGGATGAGAAATGATCATTTTGGATTGATCTGGTTCTTCCCAATCGGAACTATCAACGTTTTCCGTAACATTTTCAACACTCTTTAACAGTGCAATATTTGGGCCAGTTTCGAGCCATCGAGGGCCTCTCACCCAATCATGGTTTTTAATTGTGTAAGATGTTAGTCCTCTCGTTCCAGCATCTGCTGGATTGTAATTAGTGGGGACGTAGTAGAAATTAACTACGGTCTCTTTAGCATCTTCTATTTGCTGCTTTATCTGGTAGATGCGTTTTCTTTGATTAGTTACAAACGGAGGCAACTTGCGTGTTGATTTTATCCACGCTAGCGCTATTTCGCTGTCACTTACGATGCTGATTGAGGGAATTTTTAACCTCAGTTTGCTTTGCAATGTTTTCGCCAAAGTAATGCCAATTAAAATTGCAAGTAGTTCTAGTTTGGGTATTGTTTGAACTGTCTTCTTTGGTGTTAGACGAGTCTTTCCACTAATAAGTTGGGAGACTGCATGCGTATCATTGTTTTGCAGATACGCACATGCCGCTATGGCTAATTTGCTTGCGTCGCAGAATACCCATAGGGTATGGCATTTGTCGGTATCATTGGCTGCGCGCCTTGGCATCTTGATTGTCACGTCATTGATTTCTCGACAAGCAGTTTTCCATTTATGACATAGTTCTGCCGGTACACGATCATTCCATTTTAGAGTCGTGTCATATATTTGTCTCATTAGAGACTTCAATTTTACGAGCAGTGGCCCTACGACTCCGATAGGGTCGTATATTGAGTTCAACTGGCTCACAATGTCTCGTTTTGTTAGGTAATCTTTTTGCGCCATTGTGGTGCTCACTTGGAATTCATCTGTTTCTGTGTTGAACTCCACTCCCAGGAATTTTATTTTTGTTCTCTGTAAACGATCTTGTTCTGGGATGGCTGCACTGACTTCGCTTGAATTTGATATGTATTCACGCAAGTTCATGCCTATCGAAGATCGCTTTGGAATCCTTGTATTTTTGGAGTGATTCTTCGGTCGTATTCGCTCGAAGAAGAATATTATCTACGTATAAGTTGTCCATGATCTCTCTAGCTATATCCGTGTCTTTGTGGTTAAGATAGGCTAGGATTACCATGTTAAGAATGCTTGGAGAAGCCGTTAAACCGAATGGTAAGCGAGTGAAACGGTACTCCACAATGTTATCACGTGTAGGTGAATTATTTGCATTCTTGAACCATAAGAATCTGGAGAGGTCTTTATGTTCTTCTTGCAGTCTTATTTGTATGAATGCTGCTTGAATATCGCACAGCAGTATTATTTTACCGGTTCTGCTTGCAACAAGAATGTCATGAATTTTGTTCACAAACGATTCTCCGGTATGGACAACGTCGTTCAAAGACAGTTGTCCGCATTTTTTCGACGAAGCGTCGAATACTATTCGGAGTGGCTTTGGTTTTGTAGGGCGCCATACCCCCGAGTGTGGCATGTAGTAACAGCCAACCCTGTTCGTATTTACTTCATCAGCGTGTTCTACCACATTTGTGGAGATGTACTCTCGGAAAGTTTTGTGTACCATTTCTGTTGCTCTTTGTTAGTCTGCAGATGTTCCCACAATGAGATAAGTCTACGGAAAGCAACAGCATAATTATCTGATAGATCAGTTACATTCTCTTTCAGTGGTAGTGGTGCTGTGACAGTTCCGTTGTTGATTTGTANTCTTTTTGATTTTTTTTGAAAATATGAGAACGTACATAGTTTCTTCTCTCTTCAACTCATTGGGATTGATTCCCAGACCTTGCAACTCGAACAATTTGTTAAGCATTTCTGCTTCTGTAGGTTCGCTGATAGCGGTTAGTTGCTGCATGAGCTGTTTGCTCTCTAGGTCATTTGATAAGGGACTGCAGCGTTCGAGGGTGTCGCTGCTTTTTGTTAGCCTAGCTATGATACCACGGCCATGAATGCTGTTACTGAAAATTGTTTTGGCAATGTGCAGTCCAGATGGCATTTGTAGGAGTTTGCTATTAGGAGGACCAAATGATATTAGTAGTCCAGTCCAACAAGAATATGGGGATTTTGATGTTCCCCCTGAACTCGTGGATTGCATGACCAGAGTTCGTTCAATTGGAGGAAGTGTTTGTCCTCCTTTGACAAGTTTACCGATGCGAATCCATTTGTGATTATCGGTTTTGTTTGGGCTCTCATGTCAATTTCCATGCCGTATGCAGTGAGTATTCTAAGCGTGACCACGTTACTTTGGAACATTTCTGTGTGTCCACCAATTCCTGTCATGGCACATATTTCTCGTGACTGCTTGGGGAGTGCGAGATCCTTCGCTGTTTGTTCTGTTATTAGCGTTTTCTGAGCTCCCATATCAAAGAAGGACGGTACTTTTTTCGAATTGGTCCGTCTCATAGTTCCACACGCTACCTTCAGCTGTCATCAGCACGATTTGTTCTTTAGCTTCAGTAGGCAGATTGCTGGTATTGCCAGAACTGACACAGGCATCATTAGTTGTTGCTCTACCTTGAAATGGTCTACTATTTCGAGCATCACTGGAATTATTACCATTCCATGACTGCCTTTCCCCACTAGTTTGATGAGGGTTTCTTGGTTCTGGTGCGATATTGTTCCTAAGCTGGAATCCACAACTTGGTCTGTCGAAGTCATTGAGTCCATTTCCTTTCTGTACGGGACCGGCGGCGAGCATACGCTCGCATCGTGCATTTGTTTGCAGCGCGAGCAGTTTTTCTTGGGGCATTCGCTGCTCCTGTGGCTGTCAGCAAAGCACTTCCAACAAAGTTGCTCCTTTTTTTACGATATCTCTTCTTTCATTTATTCCTACCACAGCTCTGCAATAACTTGACGCGTGGTTGGTACTTCTGCAAAATACGCACGCCTTTGAGTCCTTATAGAGCTCTTCACTGGAGTATCTTTCTCTTTCTCCGTTGTGGTCGTGCTTTGCAAAGTTGCGCAATCTTGACTCTACGAATTTCTTCGCTTCTCTCTCTTTTTCCAGCTCGTTCATTATGTCTTCAATTTTAACCACGTCTTTACTCTGCGTAGTAATCAGGACGTTTTTTTACGATGCTGTATGGGAATTCTTCGAGAATCTTCTCTGTCCATAGCGCATCTTGCACAACGCGAATGTCTTGACCTGCTGATACCATTTGGTTAATGAGCATTCTAATTTTGTCGAAGTCATTGTTGCAGGCAGCCGCGTTGTTGGCCGCTGGATGCATGTCAATTAGTTTTTGTACTATTTTTGCTCTGTTCATGAGTTTATTCCCATATTTTTTCTCGAGAGCTTCAATCATCCAGTTGTAGTTTTTTGGAACCAACTGTATACCTTTAACGGCTATTTCAGCCCTTCCTCTCGAGCTGTCTCTCAAGAGCAGCATTTTCTCCACTGTGCTAAACACTTTGTTGTCGTGCACTAGAGTTCGGAAGACTGCCCAGTATTCCGGGAAGTCCTCCTCGTCGCCGTAGAATCTCGGCAGTTTTAGCTGGCTAGGTTTCAGAGTGCGGCAAATCGCGTCCTCTGTGTCAAATTGTACGTTGTCCGATCTGTCGGACGTGTCTTCTGACAGCCAGGCTAACTCCCCGTCGATTTCGGGGTCTTCTGTGTACTCATTTTTGGTTTCGTCCTCTTTAGCGCCATTGCGCTGTGCTATTTCGCTCCTTTTCGGGTTTATTCCCAGCTTTTGAGCAAGTTTTTGCAGTTTATTTCTGCTTTCTGTTAGTCGTGCTTCCAACACGTAGATCATTTCGTTGGCACGGGCTATTTTTTCCGTGAATTTGCACTCTGAATCGATATCTTCTATATCATTTATGAGGTCTTTTTTTATTACCTCTGGTTTTTGCTTCGTCGAATTCTTTTTCTAATATGTCGACGAGGGATTGCAGGGAATCACTGCTAGATTTTATTATTTTTATTCCGCCAGCTATCAGGTTTTCTGCGGTAGAGTACTCTTCGTACCGTATGCGGTCATCGCCCGCTGAATTTATTTCCTCTGCGTAAGATTTGTACTTGTCTAGCAGAGTGTTAAGAGTTTTTGCGCTGAATCCAATTGGCTTTTTGTGGAAAATCAGCGACATTTCGGACTTTTAATTTGTTTATTGTCCTTTTTTTATTTTCAATTTGTTTCCTAGTCTTCGAATTTTGCCAAAGACTGGTTGTTACTGTTGCTTTGAACAGTAATAGCTCCTGGTTTTGCCGAGGGAATAGGCTTATGTAAGGCTTTGCCTTCAGACGGTGGTTTATTCCAAGTTCAATCGGAGTTATCCGATGGAACGGGAAAATGTGGCTGATTTGGCCGATGCACCAAAAATTGTCCCGGTTTGGGGACAAGAGCTTTTCGGTTCGTGGCTAGCTTGCCTTTACCCTTTTCTCGGGTTGTGTGTATTGTGGCTTATACACAGTGGCTATGTGCAACTTTATTGAAAGCACAAGAAGCCCCGTATCGGCGGTGCAACGGGTATTTATACCCAGCCGATACGGGTGACAAACAAGTGGTTTATCAAGGGTCAAGGGGTTGCAAATAGTCTATATGATTAGCAAAGGTCACATCGGTAAGAAATCGTGTACCCTGTTATCACGGGTCACAGGGGGGGGGGCAAATAGTGTACAGCTTTATCAGTGGTTACAGCGGTGGCAAAAGGTTATCGAGGGTTAAAGGGTCGCGCAGAGCGAGACAGTACACCATGCGCTACTTGCATAGCGTAGCAACGACGACAGAATCGGATAGTTCCCATTGGATTGGGCAGTGTTCTCTTGAGCGACGCAATCAACTTCGCAGATTTTGCAACCATTTCTTATTTCTCCCTTCCCATGTCGTATATATTGCAGCTAATTTCGTAGTTCTTCCACTCTATTCCCTTCCTCTTTCTATTTAATAAATCTGGCAATCAAAATCGTATCTTTAAACTCCATTTTGTGAACCTAGTGACTGATTTCATAAATCTTGCAATCAACTTAGTAAAGTTCGTAATGTGCGATCCTATGCGAACAGCGGTCACTTCTGAAAACTTAATTTGCACCAAAGATTGTTCTGATCTGGCTAGCTATCGCGGTGCGGTGAGAATAGATACAACTGACGAGCTCACAGAAAGACAGAACGAAACATCGAGAGTTGTGTAGACAGCGACTGCGATATCAATCTTCGGAAACTCAGCAAGTGGTGTTAGACTACGGTCGGCGCCAATTATCCTCAGAGCTACAATCAACAGAACACTGTTGACGTTATCCTCCATCGACCATCGAACACATTGGCCATGGACCTACACGACGTAGCAATTTACAGATCATTGGGGCTCATCAAAAAATTCCACGAGTGAATGGGTGCGCTCAAGGCCTATTTAGATTCTTGAGTGGGTTCGCCAGGCGCAGGTCTTAAATAGCGTATTCAGCGCTGCCGTTCGCACGAGACGAGAAGGGCCCTGAGAGTATCCAAGGATCTAAAGCCGCAGAAATTGCTTCAGGGCTCCCAACAAGGAACATCTACTTGCTATGTCACTAACAGCGAGTGCTTTATTACAATTATACCAGGTCGCACATTCTGGACCGAATTGTTTGCAAAAATCATGGAATCGATTGCAAGGTCTGCGAAATGGGACACTGACACAATTTCTAGGATATGTAATGAAAGGTTTGCGAATCTTTGTACAAGGACTACGAAGTTGACTGCAAAGTTCACAAACTACGGCTGAAAACTACGTAGTGTTGTCGGAATATGCGCATATGGAACGCAAGGGTCTCGTAGTACGTCGGTCCCTCTGAAGTGCCTGTCATCCTCTTGGAAGGAACCTGAACACTGTCAGTTCATAGTTGAGCGAAAGTGTTTCCCCTTTATACAGTTGCCGAGTCTGTTGTTGCTCTGCTGAGTGCCTTTTTGTGATGCGGCTTCTAGTATTACTTCTTGAAAGTCATCATAAACAGAGCTGTGTAAATTCTCAATTTAGCTTGATCCTGTGTTATACTTATAGGTGGGAGATCACCACAAGCGTCATCGGTAGTTCTAGCCATCCGAACGCACTGAAAAATCACGAGAAACGAGCTGATTACTCTCAGACCAAGCCAGGTGAATGTGTTTTCTCCACTTTCAAGATACTTTCAAGATGTTTGCTATTGAGAGCCTCCTTAATTATTCTCTAGCTCTGCTTTCTCTAGCAGAAGCGAGGGAGGGAAGGCATCTCGTTGTTAGTTTCAATATCACGTAACAAACTGAGCGAGTCGCCGTACCCTTTGGATATATACTTGTGCTGCTTTCCAATCATACCTTTCTGGAATTCTTGATGTTGCCTACTTAAGAGTGATAATAGTTAAAATACAGGGTGTCCCAAAATTATTGGCGCCAAAATTCAGAAATATTTAAGGTAGAATTAATATATCAAATTCACATAACCCGTTATCAATTAGTTGCATAAGAAGGTTTTCTTGCAATATGTATGGCTACTGATGTGGAACTCCCAATATCTTTCAGATGGAGCAGGCTCATTCAATGCCACTCGCAATCATTGACACGCGCGAGGTGGAAGGGCATTATGAAATTCCTTGGGATTTTTGTTATAACAGTATAGGAGGCTATTAAGCGATACAAAAAAAGCTTGAATCAGAGAAAAACCAGGAAAGGTGGAAAAGTAGAATGTTCCTCAAGATAGGACTATTAAAATGGTCCGTCTGTCAATCGATCGAGATTCTGGGTGACCCATCAAAAGGAAGTCAACGGGCACGGCTTACAGAAGTTACCGCGATGGGAGAATGTCATGCAGGAGCTTAACTGCCATTCCTATCGTATGCAGAAATTCCGCTTCAATTCCGATCTCTACAGACACTGCAGGGCCAAAAATGCAGAAAGTCGAAAGTGATGTCACGCCACCCTTCGTCGGTTTCTCTTGTCAAGAAATTTTTTACGATAAAGCCATTCCTCAACAACCAACGGTTCGCCTTCGGGAAAGAAACGCTCAGCGTGTAATACCTTACAAAAAGGTTGCTATCAGAATAGTTAAATGATGTTTTCCGAGGAAATCACTGGCAAGGGTAAGCCGCTCATGGTTTCTTCGGTGCAGGCATGAAAGTTGACCAAGACCAGTACTCAAACGGCCTACTGATGGAAGTAAATGAAACATTGATCCGAATACGTCTTCTGAAACATCCCGTAGTCCTTCCAGCGGGACGCTTTTCCAGCCCACAGGGCCAAGCTTGCCCGCGAGAGGTGCCGACGACAGCTGCCCGACTTCATTGGTGAAGAGGGATGGTCATCCTATTTTCCAGAATCTGACTCACTTGACCCCACGACTGGTCCTTGGTTAGAAGAGGACCTTTCGAGTTTGCAGTCCCGTTTGGAGTCCTAGAATCCAAAGGCTGAAGAATGGCTGGGAAGAAATGGAGGAAGATACCTGCGTGCCACTTGCGATCAAGTCGAGAGCAAACTTTGACTTCTATCCGCGCCCATGGGGAATATTTTCAAAGGCGGCTGTATCATGTTGTAGCACATAGTGTTGGCTAACGTGCATAGAGATTTCATCGTCTATCGCCGCTGAGGAGTTTGAAATATATTGCTATAAATTGGCGCCAATAATTTTGGGACACCATGTAGATAGTAAGAGCATTTTTAATGGCACTCCTTCAGAAATCAGAGATACTGTGAATGAAAGAAAGGACAAGGGCTCATTTGAGAGATTGAGCCCCGTGGAAGAGTGGTCGAGTGGTAGCCGAGACAGTCCTCTTCTTGAGATGAGCCGATACGACAACGTCCCGTGTGCTGGTTACGAGGTTATACTTCAAATGCATACAAATAACTATACTGTGTTAGGTCGAGTTAGTAGAACTGACACTACTTTCAGTGCACCAAGATCGAGTCATCAACAAAACGATATCCAGTTCATTCACACTATACGATGAAAACGAACGGAGTATAATCTTCTTGAAATCAGTCACTAACTTAGTTTGCGAGATCCAGTGTTCACATGTTTCAATATTCACTTTCACCATTTTTTGTGGCTTAGAATTAAGTTAAGCTACCTACGGTTGCGTTTACAACAATTCAAACAGAGCTTGCTTTAACCTCAATATGGCGCCATCAACGCTTTTGTGAGAGCCCATTAGTACTATTTTCATGAAAAAATCTCTTTAGAACTAGGTGATTTTGATTCGATATGATGTAATGGTGAATAAAGTTGCCAGAAATAAAGTCCCCTCACTAGCAGCTACTGCACCTCCCGAAAAATGCTGTCAAGAAATTGACGAAATGCATCGAAAACTTCTGCTCATGAGCCCAGCACTGGTGAATGTGTAGGAAGGGGCCAATTCTACTCCACGACAACGTTCGGCCCCACGTCGCACAACTTACCCTGAGAAAATTGATGGAGCTAGGCTATGAAACTCTCCCGCATCCACCATATCCCCCAGACTTTGCTCCCACACACTACCATTTCTTTAAACATCTCGACGGCTTTCTCAATAAAAAATTTCTTCGAATCCCAACATGATGCTGCCGCGGCATTCGACAATTTTATCGCCTCTAGATCTCCGGACTTTTATGCGAATGGGATAAACAAACTTGTTTCGCGTTGGCAAAAGTGTGTCGATAGTAATGGTTGTTATTTCGATTGATGAAGTTTTGTTTAAGCCGAGATATGTGCGTTTGAAGTTTGAGGCGCAAAAACGCAAGAGCTTTCTTCACGACCTTATAGTATGGCCTTTACTACGCGATCCAATGCACTGCTTGCCCTTTGCTGCGCTCATCCTATCAAAGCACAGTAGGCATGTACATAGTGGATAAAAGATCTACTTTCTAGAGCTATGGACCTATCCTATCGCGTTATTGTCATGGGCTTCCGGGAAATCCTATTGCAGAAACAATTGGCAAATAAAGATACTGCCACAGTCGCAAATTCTATTTGCGTTTAGCCAGAGCCACTCAAGTCCCTCAAAAGAACGCATTCGTTTGTGCTTCACTGAGGAGGCGCCGTAGCTTTTGAAGCACATCAAAAGGATTGTCGGAAAGCTGACAATTTGGGCAGGTCTACTATCGACAAGTCATATGTTCTCGCTCATCACTTATGCATGGGTGGCGTGTGTTTGTATTGGTACAAACCTAATTCTTACGCACCTTCTTTGCAAATGCAAAGAAATTCTTCAATTCTTACGCACCTTCTTTGCAAATGCAAAGACAACATGATTCCCGATTCCTACCTTCCTCTGGGCGTCCACCGCGGACTCCTGTGGGAAAACGAATCAGACTTTTTTTCAACTTGTCTTCTTGCTGAAGCATCCATGAGCATTAGGCTTGATATAAAAAGATGTCAGCTCTGAAGGAACTCATTCTAGTGCCGAATCACTAGATTAATGACTAGATGAAGGGTTTGGGCGATACCCGTTTCCAACCTACGATCCTCTAACTCCGCGCGTCCTGCTATGAGGGGCTGGTAGGACATGATTAAGAAGGACATTGCTGAAGTCGAGGTGACTGTGGAAGATGAGTGACCGATCGTGAGGAGAGAAGAAATTGGAGATGACCTACCAGAACAGTGGACAGAAACCCTTCAACGGCGCGAGATCAAGGCTAGGTCAAGAAACGGTGAAATCATCGAAATTAGATGAGCCTTTCATCAGTTTCGAAGGAATTCGGTCGAAATAAAACTACAATCAAACCATTACTGTCCAAATCATTCAAAGAATTGTAGGGACTGGGCAATGTCCATACAATGTATATGGACCAGATGATATAATATCGAATTTTACCATATCATACCATTTTACCAACATTTTTTCAACTGAATGAACTTTTGATGTGGGCCAAAATGATGAAAAAACTACGTGAGGAAGTTGGGGGGGGGGACTCTTGGGGGGAGTGTGAAGCCTGGAAGCTCCTCCACTGATAGTGCTCCACAAACAAGTTCTAACGGCTTGCAGAGGTTATGTGCCTGGCTGGTTCTGGTCACGACCATGACCAGCCTTGCTTTGACCCTGGTGCAATATGGAGCCAATCTGGAGGTGGCAGCATAAAATGCAAAAACGGCAAAGCCTCGGTAATCCGAACCATCAACCCATCCAAGTCGTCCGTCCTCGAAGTCCACATCGCTACCCACCAGACCATCCATCGCTGCCGGCAGTCCAACCGTGGAGAGCCTATATGAAACTTCCCCGCACTTTTCAACATGTGGGTCCCTTTTTTGGCTACCTTTCACCGTATTTTCGATGTCGCCTCCACTGGCCCCTTCTACTGTGCGGACAGTCGACGCCTTGACTGAAACGAACGGCGCTTGGTGGGTTAGAACGGCAATTTCTGGCAAAATCTTTTTCACCCCTTTTTTGGCATTCAGAAGGCCATATAGCGGAAATGGACCATATTTATACACTCAGTGCTGATGCCCCTACACAATGAAGAAAACCATTTTCAAAAAGCGTCACACGCCCTGAAAGACCTTCCTTGTAAGAGAGAAAATATATATGTAACACATAAAATATGCCACACTAGAAGCTGTGACAGTTAATTACCAATGCGACGAGTGAGGCCCAGCCGTAGGTGGCCTGTTGGTTTCACAGTCGCTCTTTGTAACATCGCATGGCATGATTGTTTGGCAGCCTAGTCCAAGTGGCCATCGGATAGCGGACGTACCGCATCTCCATTCCCCACAGTAAGCTCTCCTCGAGCTTCAAATAAGCTTCGGAGCGGTACTTTTCTTCAGAGATGAAAGATATAGGAAGTTGACGAAGAACGGATAGTATGAATTTGTATCATGGAATATCGCGCTGCCTGTTGACCAGGTACCAATGTTGATGAGACATTTGGCAGACGACGTTATACGGAACAGCGTTAACAGTCGTGCACAACCTCACCATTTTCTGGGAGGGCTCGCCACACCTTTGCAAAAAGGGTCAAACACGAGCTGAAGGGATTCATTGGGTGCAATGTAAATGAACGACGTAGCCCAGTCGTTGGAGGTAAGTCTAGTGTCAAATATGTATAGAACATAACGAATCGGCTAGTATCCTACTTATATAATCGGCTAAGTGTGTCTGTTGGTGTGTGCGTGTTTGCGTGTGTGTGTTTGTCTGACCGGAAATTCATAACTCCTGTCCCACTGGACCTAGGGCATTCAAACTTGAAAGAGAGATAGACATCAAGATGGAAACACTGATGGTAGGTGATAGGAAATGACAACAATATATAGAAACTGATTTCATGTGTACGGCGAAGCCTTGGCACTCCGGCAGGTGGTGTAGGATGTGATGGAACCTTTGCTGATTGGTGACAGGGAATGATAGCAAGTGATAGGGACTGATTAGAAAGCATAGAAGGCAAAAGCCATTAGATCTGTAACGCACTTTCTGCTAATAATGGATTATTGGAATTTTAATAGGTGATGTAAGATGTGACAGGAACGTAGGTTCTCGGTGACGGGATCGAAAACGGTTGGTGCTGGGCCAGGAGCTGATAAATCTGAAAAGGGCTAATGAAAATCCCGGAAAGCGTAGAGCCACTATAATAATGGCATTAATAGTGGAGCTGTGACAGTTTGGCATATGATGTGGAGTACTACGGGGTCGTAGGCGACCGATGACAGGAACCGATAACAGCTAATAACGACTTATAGAAGCACTTACCAACTGAATCTGACTCCTGTAGTATTTACGATGTATTTATGATTACGACTATCATATAGATTATGACCGCTACCCAGCAAGGTTTGTGACTCGGTGGAAGATCAGGGTCACTTTATGTTTTGATATCATTTACGACAAAGCTCATTCGACCGCCAATAATTTGGGATCCTCAACTAATGATAACCCGTGGAGGAAAGAAGGTCAAGTGATAACGACATCTGATAATGGTGTTATTATCATTTGAAAACATTTGTGAGTACTTCTCAATTCTTTGGTTGCCTATCAGTTAAGCCTTTGATGGTTCGTAATTTTCAAGATGAAGAGCAACCAATTGACACTTTTAATCGTAGGCGTAAGCATTGGCACACCCTAAACACCACTGGCGCTGCCCTGCTTATGTCAGCTCCCCTTTTTTTGGGTCCTGTGTCAAAGTTGTGTAGAGTGTGTTGGACTTCGTGTTCGGAAGAGCATCATTCGTTTCAAAAATCGAGGGGGGGGGG